AGAGCACCGCAGATGCTGTCTGGGCTGGCCACAAGTGCTGAGGCCCCTGGGGGTCCGGAGACCTCTGTGGTTGCGAGGGACTTGCTTGAGGGTGGGTGGCAGATGCCCGGCAGCACCAGCGATGCCTTTCAGCCCCTGCCCCAAGAGGGATGGCGCAGCGCTGCAGTGCCTGGCTCTGTCATGACATGGAGACACAGCAGCTGGAGCGAAGACAGGGAAGAGATAACAAGAAGCTACAGCATTTCATCCTCCCTATGTACCCAGCCTGGAGGAGGCTCAGGGCTCACAGCAGAGTCCTCCGAGCCGTCACCCTGCCCTGGGCAGTCTCGCCTTTGCTGGCTCTCCTTATTTTTCAGCTGCTCTGACAATTAATCAGAGCCACTCCTACGGGATCCTGGCCCTCTGAAGCTGCCAGTCCCTATCCAAATGGATTTTAAATGTTTGCATCATGCTCCAGTCTCTTTGCTTTGCCCCTGAAGAAGGCCACTGCTGCAGGGCCTGGAGGTGACACCTCAGTGAGAAGGTGGCACTGTCAGGGCTGTGTGCATGGAGGAGAGCCCGTCTGGCTGATGGAGACCCTACCTGGCCCCTCTGAGGACACGGGTCACCTCCAACATCTCTCTCCCAGAGGGCAAGGGGTGACCTCTGTCCCGTGCGTGGGGCAGGTTGGACAATGAGCCTTTGGGCTACTCCAGCCCCAAGGGCAACTCCTGGCCCGCAAACCCAAAGTGAGAGAAGGATGAAAGACACCATCTGCTCCATAAACATCTCTGTTCATAGAAAACTCAGCCTAAGAAAATGGAAACCCCTAAGTCGCTGGGGAACTGGAGCTCCGCTCCTCATGGGGCTGAGCCTCGCCAGGGGCTGCGCTTGCTCGGCTCAGGGCCCTCCGCTCCACCTGGGCACAGTACTTCTCGGGGATGCCGGAGGCTCTGCAGAGGAAAGAAATCATCAGGCACCCTGTGCTACACTGGAGTCGAGCTTTAAGAGCACGGCCCTGGAGTGGATCCTGTTTGATGAGGATGCAAAGGAACCCATGAGGTGGGTCAGGAGATGGTGGGAAGCCAGGAAGGACTTAGGGACATGCAGGGAGCCATGGAAGTA